TAAGTTATTGAACTTCATCCTACACCCTTTTCGAACATGGACTGGTTAAGGAAAAATAATCGAGCCACTACAGAAAGTATGCTTTGATTGCTGTTTGCTTTGTTTGTAATGTATATTTTATCTTATTTTAAAAACATGTTCGAAATAAAAAATAAATGAATGAATGAATGAAAGTCACCTGGAGTCATTGTAGAAGCACCAACCACTTTCATCTGAACAGCAGGCAGTGTAGTGACCCATGTTCACCGTCCCAGCATGGTTACAGATTGCATATAAATCATACAGAACTGGGCCTGTGGAGATGAAAAAAAGATATAATGATAATAATTTTTAGAAAATAAAATGTGCATTATTTTAATTTCATAAATAAAGGAATGTCAACATACTGTCACATTCAAAACACTACTTCAAATAAGTTATTCAAAAGTGGCACTGAGCTCTAGATGTGCCATTGATCATTTGCTAATCTCAATATTTTAATTTTATTGTTATCATATTGTTTTAGTTGGTTTAATTATTCACCAATAACCCATATATGTTGGTTAACTTTCACAGCCAACTTTTCACATCATAAAATCAAGCATCAGCATTTTCAACATATATACATTTAATTATGAGATGTGATATTTGATATAATTGATCTGTAGTTCAATACGGCTTGAGATTTTTGAGCAAATTATTTAAACAAACTTTTTTTTAGTTATGGTGCCAAATAATTACTGAGAGATACTTTCCTACAATGACTGACCTTTAACAGTATGCTTTGTCTCAACTAACGTCTTGACTAACCTAAACTAAATGAAACAGTAAATGCTTGCAGTGGATGTTTGCAAAAGGAGAAGCGGCCCAGATGAAGGGGAAAACATAAAATATGTAGAAGGATAAACTTAAGGGAAGCACTGGTTTTGTTACCACAGTCGAGAGGCCCGTAAGGTCCAAGGTCCAGATTAGTGAGGGGGAAGGACACGTATGTGGTGCTTTTACTGATCGACCACCGAGACATTGTGAATCGATTCAAATCTGATGGAGAAAGTTAAGCTTCATCATAACTTCTTGAAGACAAACATACGTTTCTGATAAGTTAAATAAAACTAAAACCACTTGGTTCAAAGGATACGAATGACAATAACCTGGGGAAACCTTTGGATGGACAGCCGCTTCGTGCACTCTGTATGTCTGTTACACCTCTCACACATCTGAAATACATCCACAAACAAACACACTTCAAAGATCTTGAAACACAGTCCTAGTTGTAGCGGTTATTAACTATTCAAAAGTGTGTGCAATTCTTTGTCTGTTAGTATTTGTTTGCATAGAGTACAACCCTTCTATGGCTCTCTCATGCATATCAGACCGTCATTCATTTTTCAGCCAGGTCTTAGGTTGATTTAATTATCAACTTTTGCATTTGTCACTGTTAATTTAGCATTAAATATAGAGGCCATCCTTTAAAGATCTCAAAATCAAAGACAATAACAACATTTACTGCATTGCATGTCCACAAGACTCAAGTTAATAAACAATTAAAGACACATTTTTAAGTTGAGCTTGATTGCTAAATTCCTCGTGTGCTTTTTCTATTTTGTTTGCCTTGTCTGATGTTTGTGATATATTTGAATGAACTGATTTGTATTGATGAAGACACTGTATAAGCCAGACTTATTCCTGTTGTCTCTACACACATCTACTTAAGCATTTGTTAGCTTTACTCCCCATAAATAGCAAATATACAAACACATAATGGGCTGAATGAATAGAATGACAAAAGTATAAATTAGCGGTTAAAAAAAAAACCTTTCTTTATTCCATTCCTAGCTCAACTGTGCTTGTCATTGACCTCAAGACCTAAAGTCAGAGACACATAAATGCAATCCATTGGTTTTGCACTTACAGGTGAGTTCTCCTTGTCCAGTTTCTCCTCCTGAGAGAAGAGGTCCAGGCACTGCCTCAGCGTCACCTCCCCTGAGGAGCTCTTCTTAGGGATAGGCAGCGATAGGTCACAGAACACATCGAATGTGTTGGAGTAGTGAGAGCACACGGAGCAATGCAGCGAGCTCCGCAGCTGGCCTGAGAACAGATCTGTGAAGAGGATGGCGGGAAGAATGAATACATTTCCTTTATTAAACCTTATAGAGTACAGTTGAGGGATCATCGAGATTGGATTGCTCTCCTTACCCACTATCCTGCTGTCATCTCTCTCCAAGTGTTTCTTCCACATGGCTGCTGCCTCTTCTGAAATCCTGGGAGGAAGAAAAGAGGAGGATCAAATGTTTCCCATGAAGAACATCCTAGTTTTAAAGACAGAAGTGTATTGATGAACTTTAAACTTTAAAAAAAAAAATAAGTACATGTTCTCAAAAACATGAAATCTGGAACAAAATGTTTAAATGCAAAGATATATTTACTTTTACATTTTATCCCCTTTCCTCAGCTTTTAAATTATTTTGCCTACAGAATAAGTAACAATATCACTATATTGAATCCCAACCGATGCACCATAATGTCTATCTTATCACCAGATACAGATACACACCTAAATCTGGCATACTTCTGTTCAGGGTCCTTCCCTGTTCGTCGAACGTAGGGTCTGCGGTTGATTTCTGTGTGCAGCTTGTCCAATAGGAACCTCAGAAACTCCTGTGCATCCTGTTGACTGGAATAAACAGAAGAGACACACAGCAAGATTTCTAAATGCCATCGATACAGACAGAAGTTCCTCTCTTGTCCTTATAGCTGTTGTGGTACAGAAGTAAATTGCATTTCATATGTAGCACATTATCTTAAAAAACGTGTGTCTAAACAAAGGTCTTTGTGTGTTTGCTTTTACACAGCACTAATGTCTCTTGCATGCAATTCTAATGAGAACAGTTAACCAACATCTACATTCTTACCTGTAACCACTGAAGTAAGGCACTGCTTCTTTAAAAATACTGTAAAACTGGCGTGGGTTGACTGTGTTTCCGTCATTTACATCCCAAAGGCCTGACAGCACCTGGGAGAAAGCTGGGCGCAGGAGGACACGTAAAAGTAAAAAAAAAAAAAACGAAAGACAGATGAAATAACTTTTGTAAAGAATATAACAGCAGAGGAGGGGATCTGAGGGTAAGGTACCTTCCATGAGTTTAGCATCCTCTTTGGAGAACTTTTCCTGTTTGTAGGACTTGAGCAGGCAGTAGTCTCGTAGGCCACGTGTGTGAGACAAACATTGAACTACTGCGTTCAGGAAACACTGGCATCGAGAATAAATTGTGTGGGGAGGGGGGGGGGGGAGAGATAATAAGTTCATGCATGAAAGTTTTTGGAAATATGTATGTTTAAAATCACTTTCTTCATCATGAAACTTACTGTGTTTCCTATGTTTCTAAGGCCGACCCTTCCAACTCCTAAGGTGAGCTGGTCCTTCTAAAAAATACATTAAAAAAAAGGAAGTTATTTACCCAAACCATGATCAAGACTTTAGCCAGTATACCCTCCAATTTGATCCCTGGCAAGGTCCCGACAACATGGTACTTGTCTCTCGGTTTTAACCCCATCATGTCTGTGTGTGTACAGAATAGATGGGACAGATTTGGCCTTCTTATCACATTAACATAACAAGAGAGGCTAAAAGGAGGTCAGTCCCAAGCACTCATCCTATTAGAACCCAGGGAGTGCTGACAGGGGTTTAAACACGTGTGTGTCAATGTGTACTCTCCATTAAGTCCTTTACACAATATCTCTGTCTGTGTTAATGCTCGTCTCTTTAGCGTCCCATCAATCCCACATTAACAGAAATCTTTTAACACCAATTCTTTATGCCTGTGCATGCAGTAACAGTTTTTATGGTGTTGCGTTTTACCCACCTCATTGTCAGCGACCAGAAGCAGCCCCATCAGTGAGGTGTAGAGGACAGACTGGGAAATGTCAGCAGTTTCTCTTTGCAGGCCGTTCTGAGACACCAGGGTTCGACACAAGGCCTTGCAGGAGGGCTCGACGTTGACGCCACTGGCTCCGGGCATCCTGTTTCACTAAACCTCAGGAGACGTGTTTAGCCTCAGAAAGGCTTCCTTAAGATATGATAAATGAATGGTTTTGCACCGCCGTTTGTTTTTCACATGCAGGGTCAGAGGGGAGTGCAAAGTGATGGAAGGTCATAAGCTGTTTAGCAGAGTCACAATGTCCTTTTTCTTTACTGAAGGTATATGAAGATAATGATGGACTAATATCCCTCTGTTTCCAGGAAAATAACGAGGGATGTCATTCACAGCTGAGGGAAAAAGAACAGGATAAATTTGTGAAGGAGTGCCCATTAAAAGTAAATCCTTGCCTTGTATAGATCCAGTTGATCCACTCTGTCTCACTTTCCTTTTCCATAATTACAGCGTGTAGAGACGCTCAAAGAGTCTAGGTCTGACAGAGACCTTGATGACTTCAAACGAGATGTAAATTCAAGTTTCATCAAAGAATCAAGTATATGGTCTACAAAAGAAGTACAACTACTGTTAAGCTTTGCACGGAGATATTAGCACACTCTTGTTGATGTTTCATACTAGTAAATGGAAACATTCTTACAAAGTTATTTTAATGCGTAATACATTGACAAATAAACAGAGCAGTTTGGACTCACCTGATCACTCTATCTGTGGACAAACTGTCCCCACTGAACTGTTCCCATCACCTGCTGAGCTGTTAAAAATGCATGAGGGGACGTCTACTGTTACACTGTAAGCACTGACTGTAGGCTAGAACTGAAAGTCTACCTCCCTCCCTCTCTCTCTCTCTCTTTCTCTCTCTCCTTCCCTGTCACCGGTGTCAAAGAGAGAGAGAGATAGATAGATAGATAGATAGATAGATAGATAGAGAGAGAGAGAGAGAGAGAGAGAGAGAGAGAGAGAGAGAAAGAGAGAGAGAGCAAGAGAGAGAGGGAGGGAGGATAAGCATCACTAATCCTTTCTTTCTAAATCTTGTTGTCTATACTTAGACTTGTCTTTGTGTACTTTGCCAAAAGTACCTGAACACGCTTTCAGTGTCAGTTTATTTAAAAAAAAACAACAACATTAACAGCAATAATTGAAAAAAAAAAAAAAACTTCACAAAGGGAATCCACATTCAATAATACTGTTAAAACACTACATCCCAATCATGCAATCGATCAAAAATGTGGGAAATTAAAACCATCCAAGTTGGAAATTCAATGCAGATGTCTAACCGCAATGGGCCTTCACATTTTATGTACAACAAATACCAATGTACAGTTCTATAGACATCCCAAAGGCCCACTTGTGTTCAGTCTTTAAAATAAAAGTCAGCGGCCGGTGTGGTCCTCCATGTCCGTGTCCGAGCTGAGGCTGAGCTCGGCTATGTGGTACAGGGCGGGATCGGTGTGGAGGGAGAGCTGCGACTGGCTGGTCTGAGCTGTCCGGTCTCTGGACTGGACGATGGCCTGGCGCAGACAGGTGATCCACTGCTGCTTGCTGAAGGAGTCGTTGGCCTGCAGGCTGTAAGGGTTTACTTTGGAGCGCCCTCTGCTGCTCACACGGAAACAGTTCCTCACTAAAGAGAGAGGTGAAGAAAGGGCGTTTAGTGAAAGTGCGTATGAGGATATTTCTTCATCAAGTGGGGTAGTGTGGCAATTTGTTTGCTCAATTATGGGCTTTACTGTAGCCTAAATGTAACTATCCTATCCATTAGTTCTCTATATAATTCAAAGCATAAATGAACCTGAAATGTGTGCAGTTTAAACCTTCTTGTTAACCTTTTAAGTTTAGGCTGTTACAACCTTTCCTCTTTTTAATTACTATCAATTATTTGTTGGTTTGAAATAAGTGCTCAGAACAATCAAACCGTTTGACAAATTGACCTTTAGAGTGTCAAATCTTGCCTTTTTCACTTTTGCTTATTTATTAATCTATCAAAGAAAACTAAAGTGAAGAAAATGGAAACATATGCTGTTTAATGCTAATGATCCGATGTTTCTATGTTGCTTAGGGATCAATACATCATTTGTTTGCAGTATGTAGATGTTACCTTTATCATTTCCAGTGAATGCCCCCCTGAAGGTGCCCCCTCCAGCAGCCTCCCCGTCTGGGATCTCCTCCAGGTTGATCAGGGCATTGGGCAGAGGTTGTCTGTACACATTGAACACCTGACCTCCGTCCTTGTCCTCCCCCGGTCTGGAAAGCACCAACGCCAACTCAAACAGGAAGACATGCAGCCGCTGCCAAAGAAGACAGATGTTTGAAGTGTATTTATCAATACACAGAGAGACATTAAGAAGAGCCAAGAAAAAAAGTAATCTATCATTCAGATCTAACAGTGAAAGTGTTGGCAGGAACACCATAACAAATATGTTAACGCTAGGGCAAAGAGGTGCAAAGATGTGTAAATGTAGGGATTCACTCTGTCTTGGAATCCAAACAGCTACAGGGTGCAGTTACCTGGCCCTTGTTGTTCTTCAGCTCTCCGTGGCAGTACAGGAAGCGGGACAGCTGGATCTCTGGTAGTCTCTGACTCTCATCCAGGTAGCTGAGACCTCGCCTGTAGAACTGACACTCGGCCTCTCCCGTCTTCTTGTTCACCTCCCCCACAATGCTCTGGATTAACTCCAACTGAACACAACAAAGAGTGATGTAGATTTCATGTATTTTATAATTTCATCATTTGATTGATCAAGAAAGAAATGTCCTATGAATTGTGCCAAGGGTAAATAAACATGCACTATGTTTTAACATTTGGAATCCTGATTCTTATATGAGCCATTATTGCCCACGAGTCGACAACTGAAAGCACCTTCAATATAAAACTGTCATCTGAACTGACAGCTATTAGAAGAAACGATGAACCAGCCAAACTGGCAGACATAATGACCTTGTTATTTTCATATTACTGATGACATATCACAGGATTACTGGCCCCTGCAGTCTCATCTAACAACATTTGTAGCTGCCAATTGGAAGCAGTTCAGTGTGAAGTACTTTAGATTTGTAAAACAGAGCGTTAGCGAAATTGCTTGCAGACTGATGGATTTCACAATAAAGGAATATTAGAAGGTGAATATGAAGGTGTGAACTAAGTGTATGGTATTTATTTGGTATAGATTGGTATTTGATAATGCATACATATATTTTTTAGATCAAGACATAAATAATTTTGACATTTGAATATTTACATAAATTTATTTACATAAATTTTTTATTGTAGAGTGAGCGTGACAGGAAATGTGAGGAGAGAAAGTACAGGGTGATATGTACCAAAAGGTGTCAGGACAGGGAATTGAACCTACAACCAGCACAACCAGCACGATGAGGACGGCAGCCTCTGTACTCTGTGAACCTGCTCTACCAACTAAACCAAACCAGCGCCCCATATGTGTGATGTGCTGATATTCAGATAGACACGTTTCTATTTTTGTGCTTCTAAAAAATCTGACAAGCTATAAGATTTGAAAATAAAGCAAAAGGGAGCAATAAATAAAAGTTTTCTGTGTATTCAAACCTCCATATATTGGAAATTGATTGAGATTGCTACGGTATGTAAACCAGCAGACCCTGCATCTTTGCTAAACTGCCAGTGTAGAGAAGGACAGGAGTAAGAATGATAAGGTTCAAATTGCCTGTTCATCATTAATTCACAATTCTGTGTTTTTTAACCTGGAGTAGATGTTTTTTTATACATGTGTATGTGTGAACACAAACTTACAGCATCAGGTAATGTGTCCTCGTCCGGGTGATCTGGAGGTGTGCACTTCTGGATCTCTTTTAACAACAGCGGGTATTTCACTAAACGACTTCGGGGGAGATCTAAGAAGTTCCACAAGTCCAGTTTCCTGCTGAATGAGGACTCCTGACACAGCCGCAGGAAGTGCTCCACTCTTTTCTCTTGCTTCTTTTGGTCCAGCAGAGCTTTAGCCCCCACCTGGTTACAGCAGTATGTTACATAGGCCTCCAGACAAGGAAACTACAAGAAGGGAGAGGGAGGGCGGGATACGATGAGAAAAGCAGAGATGTACACAATCTGAACTCTGTGACACTGAGCTGAAGAGGAACAAAACAGAGAAAATGCAGGAACTGGAGTGAGTGAAGGTGGGTTGTGCCCTTTATTCTTTCTGTCCTTGGTTTCCATGGAGATACTCACCCAGTTCATCAGAGTAGGCCCAACCTCTCCGACTGTCTTCTCTGATCCCCTCAGCCGCTCCAGACGACTCAGGAGATCTAGAGGATACAAAAAAAGAACAAACTAAATGAAGAACTGGTATTGATTTTTTATTTTTGTTGCTGACTAAACACTAGTGTTACTACAGCTCTACGACAGAAACCTCTCATTCAACTCATTCGGAATCCTTAGCTTAAAAAAAAGACAACAGCAAACCCGCCTCGCAGTAATCAAATGCAAGCATGAGTGTATGAATGAACACTCTCTTTGTTTGACTTTATACAGATTCATTTTAAAATAGTGCATTATCAATAGTGCCACATAAAAGCCAATATAACAATTTGGCATGAAAAGAAAAAGAGGAGTTTCCTTGCAAGAGTTGTAAAGTAGAACGATAGTTTACCTTGATGCAAAGGGATAAGAGAGTCGAGTGTACCAAAGATTTGTCCAAGTTCGCTTTCTGTCATAATGTCCAACTTCAGCATGGGCTCATAGTACACCTGGTAACAAAAATAAATAAATAAATGGATGGATGCCTGTAAGTCTCATTCAGCAGAATGTGTTCTGATATAAAGTAATGCTTTTGTACCTTCTTGACCAGACTGAGGTCATCGATGAGTTGCCTTTCTCCCTGAGTGAGCTCATAAATCACCTGCAGAGGAGAAACACATCGTCATGTGTCCAGGATGGCATGCAAACACAGTCTTGCCTACAATGTAGATACGCAACAGGAGCTTTCACAGCTGATTGTTTGATAAAGGAAGTTGAGCCTAAAGTGCCAGCTCACATCCTCTTTCGTAATCGCTGCGTAGAGCTACTTCACAGAAACAAAGAGTATGCTCTGGTAAGCCCGCCCCACACTGCAACCACAGCTCGACCCAAATATCCCTTTAAAAAACCCCCCCCCAAAAAAAAAAAAAAAAAACCAAACATGGCACCTCATGAAAGACACCTGCTTAAAAGCCAGGTGTATGAGATGAAATAAAGCATGCTGCCCCTCGCACCTCTTGCCGTTTGATCTCCTTTGCAGTCAGGTCATGACTCTCCACGGTGTCGCTCCAGCATTGGCTGTTTCGTCGGCGTGGAAACGACGAGGCCTTCGTGCGAGCACGCAGGGGGGCTGGTGGCAAAGGTCGAGCCTCTGTGCGAAAACTGATGGAGCGCTGTGAAAAGAAGTGGTTAGTCAAATGCAAAACAAAAAAAACAAAAAAAAAAGTTCATTTAGTGTGACAGAAAGAGTGCGAGTGTGTTTGTGCTTTGTTACCGAAATGGACTGTCCAATGCGTTTCAGAGCGGGGGTCTTCGTTGGGGTTATGAGCCCTGTTAGGCTATTTGACTTGACCACTGGTTTGACCCTCTTATTACTGGGCTCCTGAGTGAAATCACCATTAGAAGTTAAGAATCTGGATATGATACATGTAAACTAATGATCCCCAAGCGTATCAAGGTAGTTCATATTATTCAACAACGAGTGGCTACACAAGACTTTAACGCATCTTGACCCACATGTCAAACCTGCAGATCAGAAACCTTACCTCTGAATCCTTCATGTGGTCGGACATTATTTCACCGTCCTCATCCTCCTCTTCATCCTAATCAAACAGCACAGGTCACATTACAGAATATTTCACAGGTCAAATTAGAGAGAGTTAGGAAGGTGAGAAATTTGGAGGGCTGCGAGATGTTGCAGGCTGCAGATCTCTCGTTTCCTGTGTAACACTTTCAAAGAGGAAGGAGGTTGAAACTGTGCCTGTGTAGTAAAATACAAGATGTCTGCTCGTTTCATTTGACTCAAATACCACATCAGCTGTATATTCAGTGCAGTGAGAAAAGGTGCTTCACTCTAAATGTTTCTATTTGTGGTAATAGACATAAAACCCAGTTGCTAATTCTGAAAAGGACAGTGGCTGATGTGTAACTAGGTGTCATATAAACAACTTCAAGTTTTGTTCTTCCAAAAAGCCTCTGTGGGTGTACGGCTTAACTTCTCTCGTTAGCTCTGGGTATTGTGGTCACAAAGGTACGGTTGAATAACTTCCGCTAGTTACAGAGAGGCAGAGACATGAAGATGAAGAAACGCAGAGTTTGATGGTGCCTTTCAGATTTAACACTCACCTCTGTGATTCTGATCACAGGTGCAGGGGCTGGGTCTTGTTTTCTCTTCTTCTAAAAGCAGAATTTCACATTAGGTTTACTTCTTCTGTTTTTAAGAGAAAACCCATAAAAGTTTTAGACAAGGGAAGCAGGTTAAAAAAATATAGTATGATAAATTGCTAGAAAATACCCCAGCATGGTCACAGAGGATGTGTTTGTCTTCTGCTGCTGTGGACCTTAAAAAGAGCAATACAGAATTATTCATGGAGAATTATTCTTTATCAACAAAAAAAAAAGAATCCTCATCATGTTTGCCTTTATTATGGTTTGGAAGATTTTCTATGCCATTAATATCAGTGGCATTCCTTAAACATACTTAAATCATTCTGTTAATTATACTAATCCCTTCCTGTCATCGCTCAGCATTGACGTTCAATATGTAGGATTCAAAGTCAGAAATCTAGAAGTACGAACGTAAGAGGTATCATACCAGGAAGTCCTTGTTTCACCAGTGTCCTCCACTTCCATCTCGTCTTTGTCTTCAGTGCATCTTCACAGAATCATCACACATTTTTCTAAATAAGAGAGGTCCACACGGTCCAACTTTACACTGAGTTCTGTTCCAGTAACATACAAGTTTTGTTGTTTGTCAAAGTTCAGTGCACTCCTTCCTCCTCACTTTCTTCCTCATCTCACAATCGACCACATCCTTTTGAGTTGCACATACTCATGTATCCGCTCTTCGAAGGGAGGAGGGTTTAAAACGCCGCTTTCAAAACCTGTCTTTTAATTAGTTGATGGAACTTTAAAATTTGAGGTCATCAACATATTGTGCAGCACAAGATTACCTGAGCTTACATTCATGTCAGCAGAACAGTTGATGAGGTTCCCTGTTCTTGGCGTTTAGTCTGCATTTACATAAAAAGTTACCATCTGATTATAGTTTTCGTTTTAAGTCAGGTAGGCGTTTAGCTGATTCAAGCTGTGCTTCCCGGATATGCTCTATAATGAAACTTCTGATGAGAAAGCCACAAGCAGGTCAGAGAGGAAAATATGGCAAACTTACACATCTCTGTTTGAGTCAAGTGTTAAACCAGAAATGAAGCATACTGAAGTCAGAAATGGACAATCAAAAGAAGACGCACAAAAATTCAAGTTTGTTTTTACCTGTTTATTCACTATCACACTAAGTGCTCCCATTTCAAGATACATCTCATTGCCTTGTTCTTATACTGCAATGTCATTTGGAGTTAAAGTAGAAAGAAGACATTAATGATCTAGAAGGTGTGTGTGCGCCAAAACCACTGTTCACCCCCCAAAATATAATAGAAATTAACAAAACACATGAAATGCAAAGAGAATAAAGAGAAGTGATGTCATGTGCAAGAGCCCCTCCAAAAGCCACTGAGTGCTGGATGAAGTGGGTGTAAAGGCGCCTCAAACTGGCAACAGTTCCTAATCTGCCAGCATGAGATACTTTTTTTTTCCCAGTCTGAAGATGTTGACTCAGTCTTGGCTGTATCTTTGAGTGCCTCTATGCCTTTAAATCTGGGGTCTCAGGTAGAGTTAAGGGCAGTGATATGGCCTGGGGGAGCACAATGGATTCTCAATGAATGCGACACATTTCAGGGATTCTTCTTGACTGAACATTTTTTTTTTAATGAGATGCATCTTCGAAAAAAAAAAAAACAGTGATGTGGGATCAGGTCTAGGAGACAGGGGACAGTGGAAGGAAGGGAACAAGTAGAGTGGAGGGGAGAGAAAATGTCCCTCCTTTGGTGCTGAAGGCTAGTAAGAGTGTGAGGATGTTTCAGAGAGAATGCCAAGAGAACACTAAGGCTTAGAATTAAACTCAGCTGAGAGGTTCTGCTACTGAGAAACATCAGGAGGTCCAGTATACATGCTCCCTTCCTCCAGCGACACCCCTGATCCCACAGCGATGCACCAGCTGGATCCGTAACACACATACAGGTTTTCTTAAATCAGCTTACGGGGTCTATATACACTCAGGCACAGGTTTACACAAACCACAGGCCTTTAAAAAAACTGATTGATCCAGTAGAGTTGACCTGGATCAACTCACCCACCCCAACTCTTCCTCAGAATACCCCTCCCCCTTCCCCCCCCCCCCCCACCCTGTGGGTGGGTTCAACATGGGGCTCAGCGGATGGTGTATCTGACATAGGGCACTTCCACGTCTTCATCTGACAGGTCATTACAGCAGAGCTCAAACACCAACGCTTTCACGTGCTTCCCCAGCTTCTTTTTGGACACCTTAGTCACAATCTCTGTCATCCTGCAGAAAAAAAAAAAAACAGATAACAGTTACATCATTGCATGCTACTCATGTTCAAAGAGGTGATTGAATGCATGTAAATTCATACTTACGGCAGGTCCAGTCTCTCTTTGAGTTTGGCAGCAGGCATGAAAAATGAATAGAGCATGGACACTCCCTGAGAAAGCATGGTGATTTCCAACTTATGCTCATTCTGGCAAAGGACAGAAGAGGGAAAATGGTTAATTTTACAGCAAACTCTAGTGGTAACCTTGCAAAGAGAAAGTGGAAGAGAACATACTTTAAAGTAGTCCAGGAACTGTCGGAGTGTCATTTCATCCCCATTGGACTGCAACCCTGTGACCTCAAAGCGATCCCACAATGACCAATCAATCTCATAGTACTGCAGAAACAGAGAGCAAGGAATGAGAACAGCATAACAAAAAGCACACACTCATTACCTTTCTTTGCAACAACACAAAAAGGAACTAAGACACTTATTTTTCTCCTCAGCCCACACTGACACAATCAGCGTGAGAAAGTCAGTTGAACTCATGTACACCCAGGCAGATAAACACCATCTGGCTGGTGTATCAGTATTAGCATGGCTGGATCATCATCGGAGTGGAAAACATCTTAAGATTATATTTGGGTAGCCTTTAAAGAGGCATTAGACTGTACAGTGTAAAATTGTATCATTTTTTTTAAATAAACTTGTAATTTGGTCATTAAGCTGATCAAAAACAGCAGTGACACGTGTGCAGGCACCAACCTTATGTCTGGGAGCAGCGATAGGCTCGGAGAAGGCGAAGAAAGGCAGGGCCAAGTTCATGAAGCCATTCTTGAATGACTCCAGCTTCTTGTGTCCTTGAACAATTTTGATGAGCTCCAGGCAGACAAGGCCAACCACAGCTGCAGTGGTAGTGGCAATGGCAGGAATGATCTTGCCAGCTATGAGTTTGCTCTTATATGGAATAAGAGAAAAAAAAGAGTTAAAGTTGCAACAAGACAGTAAACGATGAAATAGAATATTCTGTTTTTTATCATTTCATTTAACAGCCAATAGTCTGTCTAAAACATTTGCCCATACCTTGTGTCTGTCTGTGGGGGGAATGTCGTAGTTCTCTGCCCTCAGGTTGGATGCTGCTACGATAAAGTCCATGTGGAAGTTGGTGTCATCATCCTTTCAACACAAGGTTAACAGGACTTCAATTATTACAGCTTCAGGATGCATTGAAGACTAACAGTATAATTAAGCTTTAAAATAAAACTTCTGATACAGTGGGTAAGAGTATGTACCTTCTCAAAGTCAATGGCATTGAGTTTGAACTGGGAAGATTCAGAGGAAGGCAGCTGGACCTTCAGCTCTTCCAGTCTTGAGTCATCTATATAGATAAACAAATCAGTTATGCGCGTGCGTAGCATAATGAGGATCAGCCAAAAATCTCAAAATCTTTCAATTTTGACTAGATCTATGACAAATGCTTTCTTATGAACATGCATATACCGTTATCTTACCAACAGAGGAATTGCTGTTCTGCAGGTCCTGGTCAGACACATGGATTTTGACTCCTGAACGAGGGGTAAATTGTGGCACCTTGACCTCCTGTAGGATCTTGACTAGAGCTCCACGATCAGTGCTGCCCTGTACACCATACGTCTGGGCATACAGGTTCGCTGCTGCCATGACGTAATCCATGTGCAGCTCCTACAAAAGAGCACCCTTGGTCATTATCTTTGGAACAGTTCAGAGCAGACTGGTCATATGTATGCATGAGAAATAGAATGCACCCAAATTTACATTGCTAGTGCTGAATTCTAGGGGGTGAGGACACCTCTTTGGGCCAGACCAGAAGGGGGCACCAGAGCTGGTAAGCTGAAAGACAAAAAATGAAAGGCCACTTGTTAGGACCACAGTAATGCAAAAACGCTAGGGTTAAGAGTGTTCTGCTTTCGAGCAGATATTACAGATATGTCAAAGATGAGTAAAATAACAGATGAGGAGAGATGTAAACATCTTGCAAGAAGAACAAAAGACCAAATTTCTCCTTTACCTACATCATTCGCTGAATAGAAACAGTTGCACAAGAGTCATGCCTGCAATGTCCTCATAATAACACCCAGTAATTTAATTGTTATAAACCAGCAATTGCAAGACCTAGGCTTTACTCTAAACACGCCTTAATCCTCAGGTGACAATGCCCAGGAGTCAATTACATGCTGCTGGGTGGAATAACTGCAAGATGCTGTTTATGCAAATAAAACTGGATACACTGAAACTGATATATGAAGTGATTAAATCACACAGTGGTTAGAAAGATCAGACAGCAAGCAACCGTAACATTCCTCAGTATTTACCTGCTCTGGGGGGAAGTTGTGCAGAAGCTGGCTGATGTTGTTGCTGTACTGGACCTGCCAGTGGTTGCGGGCCCAGGCCACACAGTCAGCCCAGCTGTGGGGGCAGTCTGTGACAAGACACTTGTAAACAGCCTCCAGCACCTCCACAGGCTGGGCTCCAGGAAGCTTCAGAGTACGCTCCATGAACTTTGGATCTCTGCAGGGACAGTGATCAATAAAACCCCATTAGCTGATTATAAACATCAGAGGAGCTGTCACTTTTTGTTCATCCACTGTTCTGCCAGCAGTTTGAGACACATTAAGATTGGAATTTAAATGTAAAAATATTTAGTAACTTCTTAATAATAAAACCTTAATAAAAAGGGTCCATGCTGCGCTATTCACAGATTGGTACAGATATTACACCTGCATGTCCAAGTACTCAAGAGATCAACAAAGCGTTCCACAATCACTAAAAACAGTATCATGAGCTGCAGCTATCTGACAAAATAATCCATTGTCTATATTAATATTATTATATTATTGTTAGGACTGGAAAATAACTTCTCTTTGCATCAATCTCATAGAAGTGCAAACACAGAGAGCAAGGATTGAGAAACACATCAACAGCACACAGTTATTGCTGTTCTTTGCAAAAGAAAAGCCTCAACACATTTTTCTCCTCAGCACACACTGATACCATCAGCGTGAGAAGGTGAGTTGAACTCACTTACACCTAGGCAGATAAACACCATCTACCCAGTGTATCGGTATTAGCATGGCTGGATCATCATTGGAGAGCAGAGCATCAAGGGCTTCATTTTGGTAGCAGTTTAGAAAGGCATCAGATGATAACAAGTGGTTAAACAGAAAAATGTTTTCTATAAACCTCCAAATGATTAAAGTAAGCAGCTCAAATCAGTTCGCAGTACCTGTTCAGGTGTTAACCTTGTGTCTGAGAGTAGCAAAAATGACTTTTCTTTGCATTAACAAACCTCATATCTGGGTTAGTTACAGCGTTGTTGATGACTTAGTAATTGATGTGAAGGCAACTTACGAGAGGTACTGCAAGGCATTCTCTGGGGGTTGTTTAAATAGTCCCTCAAACTCATCACGTGCCCACTGAAAATAAAGACAATATTGATTAATAAAACATTCAATTAGCTTAATCAGGACAGAAAATGTATATAACTATTTCAGCAATTTTGTATTGCGGTGCTTGGGAAAAACTTACCCTTAAGACTACATTTTTAAAAGGCATTTCATTTTCTCACTAACGCTGACATAACGTTTCCTTTGATTAAATACTTTTTGTAGAAATCTTTATCTTCTTGCACAAAAACAAAAAAACACAAATGGGAGCACCGACTTGATGCCTGCTATATATATATATATATATATATTTTTTTTTTTAATATGCCAGATATCTACTAGAACTTTATTAGTGCCCACCCCTCTGCCTGTATTGTTCTAAAATGCAGCAGTGTATACGTGTGACCTCTACTGACCTGCAGTGTGTGTTCAATGGCATTCGGGAAGTTCTTGAGGGTGCAGATGGGGATTGACTTCTCAGGCGGGTCTTGGCTGGAGCTGTATGACTCTGTGAGGAAGGGGATCACAACCTGGACATTGCCTTTGGTGCCAAGAGTACCAGACTCCAGTAAAGGTTTACGGTAGTACACACACCTCCGATCCATGTACATACCTGAATATTGGATAGATAAAAAATTCTTAGAGCGTCACACTTAAATCTTAACATCAACCTCTTTTTTTAAGAGGGAGTGTTTTAGAAACATATTAAGAAAATTGAAATTTCTGCGTCTCTTACGTGCGTCAACATTATCCAGTGCATTCGCCACTCCGTCAAGGCTTTCAAAGAAGTCGTCATCGTAGACCCTCTCTGTGTCAGGACCCACTCTGTTCTGGTGGCCGGTGATCCTGATGGAAGGGTTCATCTGTTTCACTGCAGCAGCAGCTGTGTCACTCTTCATTTTCTGTTACAATGTTATCAGAAAAAAAATAATCAAATACCGATGAAAGACGTACTTTTAAAACCTATATTTAAATGTGGAAAGTTGGCTGCATCCTACGAAATGCTGACACACGTGCCATCATTAGGGCCTTATAAAATCCATTCACATTTTTTCCAGATCTCCACTACAATTTAATGAATGAAAATTCTCCCTCATTCATTGTGTATTGCAAGCTGTGCTGGGATACAAAGCCACGCAGACCAAGCTGGCAGTGCCACTTTTTAACATCTTTTCTCCTTCATTAGGACATAAAACATGCATTGTAAGAAATGATATCTCAGGAAATGAACCCTGTGGAGCGCTCATCTACTTGAAAGACTTCTCAATTAAAGACAACAAGTGACCAGTGAAGGTGGAAATCATAACTTTCACTGTAGACCGAAAGCTCAACAACCATACTGTAGTTAGTAGGAGTGCAAACTCCACAAAGCGAAAAGAAATGGTACTAAAAGAGCTATACAGCTGTACAGAAACTGTGGACTTGCTGAACACAATGGAAATCATAACACAGGAAGACATTTCAAACATTTTTTCTCAACCCCTCTAAAACAGACCACGTTATATATACAGTACCGGTTTAATTTATATTCCCAAGTTTACAGAACCAACTCTAGCACTAGAAAAGGACCAAAGAAAACGTAATATTTACATCATCAGAAAAACTGTGAAAGTAGTTGACTGATCTGTCTAGTCCATAATACAAGTTTCTATTCCTTATCAGAATATTTAATTCAACAATTTTAGAAAACAGGAATTATATCCACCACTAAATACGTCAGATATGGAAAACTTCTACCACAAATTATTCTAAAACATAATATCACTCTTGAATCAACTGAGGCAAACTATTTTATGAAACATTTATAGTGTTCAAATATCAATATACCAATGAGCTGGTGTGACCCCGGGCATGATGCATCATCCATCTGACACAGAGCAATAACATTATCTATCTGCAGTGGTGAGATCGAGTGCACTCCAGAGTAGTTGCAGTGATTACAAAATCTATACAGAGCGCTTCTTGGCAGTACCATGTTTAGTAAATAAACTGCCAAATTGTGTGCCACCTTATAATCTCTAAACAGACGAAGTTGAGCAAACCAGATACTGACCGTAACATCTGAGGGTCTGAAGAGGAATTGTCTGTTGAGGTTGGACTTCTCTATGGTGTCCATGTCTGTCACAATAACCTCTCCCTCACCGCCTGCCAGTCCAATCATGGCAAAGTTTTTCAACAGCTCACAGCCAATGGCACCAGCTCCCACCTGGAATTAAATAAAAACTTCTCAGTTAGCATGAAACACCTAACAAATTGCATCAATTAGTTTTGTTGAGTAGATTAGCATTATTCTTCTCTGACAGAGCGGCACAAGACAGGTGATATTAGCCACAAATGGACTTTCAGCCCAAAATTTATTTGTTTGCACTGAAGACTCAGACATTCTAACATTAACATTTTTTTTTTTTTTTTTTTTTAAAAGATTCAATTCCATAAAGAATTTCCAAAAATCTGTTGTAGGGCAGGATGCAAAAATAATGGAGTTTGACCTCCTGATTATAGTTTGAGAAATAATCCAGATTAGTTTGCATTAATTGCACAACATCACTAATGTAGAAAAATCACATGAACAGTCTTTAGAAAATGAAATGTTTCATTTATTTCTGTTTTTTTAAAACAGAAATAAAGTAGTCATATAATTCAGCAAAAAAAAAAAAAAAAAAAAAAAAAAAAAAAAGGTAAATAGGACATTTCTCTCCCGTTGAATTGGAAGCATTGTTTTTAAATATTTAATTAGCTTTTTCACTTAAACCTTTGCTGCCTACAGTGTGTTTATATATAAGAAAAGATATCCTTTCTTTCTCCATTGGCAAGTGACACCAAAGAAGGTATTGGGAAAATGGCCATTGGCCCACTCACCAGGAAGTAGCGCTGTTTGCCAAGCATTTCCTGCAGCTTGGTGCCAAACACAGCAATCTGCCCATCGTATCGGCTGTTCCTCTGGGAAAACAGATAGAGGCAGTGGAAAAGGTTTAACACATACTTTGTCATCATTAGGTGTATCAGTCATCAGTACCAGTGAGTGAATAGTGCTGCAATCTTACAGGGGCGCACTCTTCCTCTGTTAACATGACATCTTCCTCCTCAGCCAGGCACTCCAGGGCATCAAAGTAGAGCCACTGCATTATCGGCATGAATTTTCCTGTGCATGCCTATGAGAACAAAGAGCATTCAAAGATGTTAGGAAGCCTTACAGACAGACAAATGTGTTTGGTTTGACAGGTTACAACAGTACATGTCCAGACATGTCTAATCAAAGACTGATAATCCATCACCATGTCACAGTGTTCCAAAAGAAGACTTAAAACATCATTACAGAAGATACCGTCATAGTGACCTACCTTCATAACTTCCTGTGCAGCCAGACCCCCAATGAAGGCATTGACAGGGGCCAGATCACCAGCAGAAACATAGGACAACTTTTTGATAAGACCGTCATCCAGCTGCTCCACTTTGGCTGAACCGGTCTGGGCTGAGTTCACCTCTTTGGCCAATGCCAAAAGCTCATCACCATCAGCCTGGAATACACACAGCTCAGCATGTTACAACACATAACAAAATGATGAGTTTGCCCAGTAGTGCATCTTTCGCATAATTGTTCTCATGCTGTGCTACAATTTAGTAATAGGAAATACTACAGTCATTATAATTGTAATCAATGATAAAGGCTGAATTACATTATTTAGTTTGGATGAGGAAACATTTTTTTTATTGCTTACACATTTAAAAGTGGTTAACCTAAGAAGTTAAATAGACGATTATTTAATACACTGACGGCCATAATAAAAAAAGAACTTCATCTTTAACCATAACCAGTAATTAATAGTGATTCTGTTCATTTTCAACCATAAGGCTATTAAACACCATTCTTAAGTGTAATACCTGGCCCCAAGGTATAGGAAGGTGGTTGTGTTTCTTCTGGAAAGCATGGATAGCCTGGAAGCCCACATGAAGCTGCCCTGGACGATCGAACTTGGCGAAGTCTGTCATAATGAACTCTGGTTCAGCCATGGAAGAGGAGATGGATTTCTGCACAAAATGAGTACAAGACATTTAATATAGACTCAACATACTCTTTGGCAAAAGCAACACCAGATAATACGGTTGCATCCGTATCGTCATCAGCTTAACCGTTTGCATATTGTGTGTGGGAAAATGGTGTCAACTTACAAAAGCAATCTTCTTGGGCACCTTGACCTGGGAGACAATTCCTCCTCTTACATAGTCTGTGAAGCCAGCTGTGTCACAGATGCTAAAGGTGTAGGGACCTGGACAAAGAAGGGGTTCATTTTTAATAGTCATAACCCAGACTAGGAAAAGCTTGTCTAATTCAAGAATAAAAAGCAGGCTTACCCAGAACTTTAATTTCCACTGGCTGGCAACCATTTAGCTCTGTCATACCCTGAACCTCTGTGAAGGTGACACAGTCTCCACTCTCAAAGCCATGACGAACTTCATCTAGACACGTCACAACCCCTGGATTGTCCTGCAGAGAACAAGAGTGACAAACTTGTTATTTTAATATAAAGGCTGTCTTGATGCTTTTTCTTACCCATGGGGGAAAAAAAATTCTAGGAAGACTAACCTTTGTGATCATGGAAATCATGGCACTCAATGGCTGCTCTCCATTCGTGTCATACACAACCATCTCCTCACCAAAGTCACAGAAAAGTTGGCTACACAACAAGACAAGAACATTTATATAAG